GACAGTTTTTCCAAACATGCCCTTTTTCTTTCTGTCTTTGGTCCTTTGGAAAAGAATGCAATACAGGGCTGTAAAAGGACATGATTTTTTTTTTTCTTTTAATTTTAAAAGTTATTAGTTTTGTAGGGGAGCTTAGATATGAAAAACCATTTTGTCCACCCACCTGATTTTTGGCAATTCCTCTTCCTCGTGAGTTTGGGCATGCAGAGGAGTTTGTCAAAGCATATCAGTGTCACATGCCTGGCTGCTCTGGTTTTCACAAATGTTGTTCAAGGTGAGCCAACTGAACCGAGGCGGGGTGAGTCAATCTCCCACACCTGTAGGAATGTCCCTGTGTACGCTGTTCATCTCTCAGTACAAGGAATGCGGACAAAGGTAAAGTACATGGATCACACATAGTGTGCTGGAGAGCCCCGTGATTTCCTCTGGGGTCTCTACTGTCAGTACAAGGTGGGCTGTGCAATGACCTCTCCCTGGATTGCTTGTCTCTGCCTTTACACCTGTCACTTGGACCTGGCATGGTGAGTGTGAACGGATGGCTGTGCTGTCCATGGAGCACAGGATTTCATGATTATATACTGTGTATTACTGTACTACTAGGTGGATAGATCAGAGCAGGGGAGAGGATGGATGGATCAGGCTGGATATTGGTAGTGGGACACCCCCCTCCTTTCTGTCACATAGTCAGGGATTTCTATTTGATTCTGCGTGGATAGGTCTCACCTATCAAGATTGATCTATCATTACAGGCTAAACTTCATTTTTATCTCTCATCTATCAAAGGCTCCTCTTGATTTCTACCTTGTCCGGGTTCTTGCACAGGGATGCTGGTGACTTTGTTTCTGTAAATGGTTTAAATTTCAATTAGAAATATTTACATTTTCTGCAACAACCCTATGCAGTCTTATCAAAGGATAACTAAAATAAATGCTATACTTAAAGTGATACTACAGTTTTTTGTTTTTTTTTTAATTAAAATAAAGTGTTATTTGACTTTTAACCCTTTCATCAATAAATTTTGGAGAACTTTGAGAAATTCTCATTGGGCATTCAGGAGTGATGGTTTATGATAGAGCATTTCATATATGCCTGTCATTAAAGTGGTTCTAAAGGCTGAAGATTTTTTACCTTTACTGCATTCTATGCATGAAGTTTAAAAAAAAAAAACAAACCTTCAGTGTTCAGTAGCCCCCTCAGCCCCCTACACTTACTACTACTACTACACTACACTTGAGCCTGATCTTGGTCCAGCATTGTGCACAGGAGCCCTGGCTCTCCTGGGTCTTTCCTTCCTCATTGGCTGAGACATAACAGACATTGGCTCCCACTGCTGGCAATCAGCCTGTGAGGAGACCGTGGGGGGCTGGGCCGAGCCGCGCTCTGCTGTGTCTTATTATGACGCAGAGAGCAGGGCTCTGGAACAAGTACGCACTAGTGCCCCCATAGCAGGCGGCATGTTATGTGGCACTGCTCAGGGGGGAGGATGCAGAAGGCGAGGGACCCAAAAAGAGGAAGATTGGGGCTGAAAACCACTGCATACAACAGGTGAGTATAACATGTTTGTTATTTAAAAGAAAAACAAGCCTTTAGTATAATTTAAAGGCTCCATGTACACTGGGCATTTTTATAACGCTGGTAACATTAGTTTTGTAAAGTCACGTTAAAAAACGTGAGTTTTTTTTTTGCATTAGCGTTTAGCAGAGTTTTGATGATTTTTTTTTGTGTTTGCAGTTTTTAGCCGGTTTTTTTTTAACCAAAAAAAAGTTTTGTTTTTTTTTTTTTTTTTTTTGCCAAAAAAAAAATCCAGCCAAAAAACGCAGCTGTCAAAAAATGCTGATTACAGTCTATGTGTGTATGGACACATAGGATAACATGCTGGGGGATTACTGGCTGTAGAAAAAACAGTCAAAGGCAAAAAACGTCCAGTGTGCGTGAGGACTAAAGGGTTCCTTGAGCACCTTTCTTTTATGACTATGTTCAAGACTGTTCAGTTCCACCATTGTTCAAGTGGGTTCACAATCAGCTGCTGAGGAAATACCCATGCACCTGGCTCTTCACCTGGCTTCTTCCAAATATATGGTGTAATTAGTACATTGGAATTTTATCAGTAATCTTGGCGCCAGACTTTATTGAATGTGCGTTCATAGACACACACAGCACGGCTTGACCATGACCCCTGCTCCTTCTTCACAGTATTGGACTGACAGCAACAGGAGCCAATGGCTTCTGTAGCTCTCATAGGCTCCTGTGGGAAGAGGAAATGTGAAGGGAGAAAAGCTGCAGCCGGGAATAGCACTGAATCAATTAGAGGAGACAAGTAAGTGTTTGGGGGTTGCAGTGGGGGTACAAAAGATAGCTAAATGTTTTTTACCCGAATGCATTAAGGTAAAAAGTATTTAGATTTTAGAACCACTTTAAGTGCCCTGTCACACCGGTGCCAATTGACATTGCACCTGAAATTGCATCTAGTGAATGTCAGTGTCTTAACGTGTGGTTTGCTGCAGCGTGATTTCTGAGTTTTTGCATTACATTTTCTGCAGTTTTGTTGCGATTTCACATACATAGAATGCCATGGAAAGCGCACTGCAAATTGCAAGAAGTCATTGAAAATCTTCACAAGTAGCATTAAAGTCTTCAGAAATCGCACCTGAATCGCGTGATTTTATATTGCAGCGTTGTGACCGATGACTTAGTGTGTAATTGCGGCAATTGAGATCGTCTAACAGGAATACAGTACAAAATATCATTTGGATAGTCTGCACTGCTGACCTACAAGGGTTTTTACTCTTGGAGGTACGGGCCTTCAGTCAGTGGACTGTTGAATGAACTATAATTGCAGTGATGTCACCGCCCTGCTACTGGTGCTCTCTGTAAGGTGGCAGATCGGACTTGTAGTATTTTCATCTATCAATCCCCATGATTTTATATGAGGATGATGCACCTGTGCAGGTGCAGTCACCCTCCACTGTGCTAAAAAAAAACAAACAATGGAATGAAGGAACAAAAAGAGCCCTGGGATTTTTTTCAAGGTGTGAATGGCATTTTGTTTCTGTTTGTTACACCCTATATGAAATGTGATTAAAAAAAAAGACGGATTGCACCTGTAAAGACATTTTCTAGCAAACATTTTTATTACATTTTAGATGAAGTAGGAAAGAGAACCTTTTAAGTTGGTCTTGCTTGCCAGGGAGAATTCCCTTCACCTCTGTCCTGGAGAAACCAAAAGAAATGAGGGAAAGTGAGGGAAAACCCCCTGTTGTCACCAGAATAGGTGATGTCATCGGAAGATTTCCACTCCAGGTCTGGTGATAATCATTATATGTTTGATATAATTTGTTTCTTTGAGGGTCGGGTTCACACCCAGAAAACACACTCCAGATGCATTTTTACTTACAGTTCACACCACAAAAATGCTGGATGTATTTCTGTGTGCACGGTTTTGATTTTTAATGTGTTGGTGTGTTTTTTTCCCCTTTTGATTTATCTTTTTTTCCAAGGTTTCCTATGGGTGTTTTTTTTTTCCCTGTAATGTATTCCAGTGCTTTCTTGATGCTTTTAAATGTGTGTGGTTTTGATGCATTTTGCTGTGTTCCAGTACAGTTCTGTGCAGAAAAAATCCTGCATGTTTTTACTTTTTTTTTTTTTTTCCTGTACTGGAACGCACTGGCACTGACTGCATGGTTCTGAACTATGCCATTGGAACCCATATAATCTACTGTCCTTGCGTTTTTGATGTAGAAAAAAAAACACACTGGACTGTATCTGATGTGATAAGAGGAGAGAGAGAGGGGCCAGACTAAGTGCAGCATTAGACCATCTTTTATTGCACACAATAGTATGTAACTCACAAGAGGTAATCACTTATTGTCTAATACTGCACTTAGTCTGGCACCCCTCTCTCTCCTCTCATCTCCACTACAGAGTCCAGCCTAACTCTGTAGGGTGCTGCCTCATGACTGTGCTATCCTAATAGCTGAATACCTCCCTACTACCCATGGGACTGTTATATTTATATACCCCATCTCTCCAGCGCCAATATATCACCTACTGTTGCGTCTGATGTGAACCTACCCTCAGAATAAAGTGATCACCAGGACAGACAGAGAAATTTACCTGACAGGGCACAGGTGGTTATAAAGAGAAGGCAATTATTTTTAGTAAGTCATAAGCAATGTAGTTGGTGATTCCCCTTTCATGAGGAAAGGTAGGAGCCAAAGACTCGATTCCTTAAGAATTTGATTAAGTGAAGTGTATGTACAAATATAAAATGCAGCGCTATGTGGTGTTGCCCTAATATAGGTAACAATAATTTAGACATAAAACCAAACATGAAATTTATATCATAAATGGATGAAATGCAGTCCTGTAATAGTGCTCGCTGTTCTCCAGTGCAAATGATAGAAATGCACAGAGAGGAGACATTGTTGGAAGTGGCAGCAGAGAAGCCTCAGAGTGACCCTTGTACCAGCTCTATAGAAGGGGGATTATCCACTCCACACGTCTCTGCAAGGATATCTCTGGCCTGTGGGACTTCATCTTCACCACACGAGGGTGCTTCATCTCCACATCTTCCAGCTCCTATCCATTTTCTGACCAGAAAGATAGGGTATTCTTCAGGATTATTTATATACATGCGTATTACCAATACGCTTCTGGTTAGTGCGCATTTCTATCATTTGCACTGGAGAACAGCAAGCACTATTACAGGACTGCATTTCATCCATTTATGATATAAATTTTCATGTTTGGTTTTATGTCTATATTATTGTTACCTATATTAGGGCAACACAACATAGCGCTGCATTTTATATTTGTATATTCATTTTGGGACTTTTTATGTGTTTTCCTTGAATGTTCAGCTGCTGACATTTTGGAGCGCTCATCTATCACTATCACTTTCTATTATCACTTTCTATACAGTGAAGTGTATGGAATGTGGCTGAGTTTTCTCTGTAATTAGAGGCTTTGTTTCTTTAGGTAAACCTTTCCTTGCATTGGAAATGACATGTAATTGTCCTAGAGCTCCAGATGCTGCTTGCAACATGGAAGTGGACAAAGACTATTCCAAGGAGGCCATTCGAATGGAATCTTATGCCAAGTTTCCCAGCAGCTGTCCAATCTCTGCACCAACACTGGCACGCGCTGGCTTCTATTACACTGGAATCCAAGACAGAGTAGAGTGCTTCAGCTGTAAAGCAATTGCTGAAGCCTGGCAGCACGGAGACACCGCCATTGGAAGACATCGGAAAATCTCTCCAAATTGCAAATTCATTAATGCTTATAGTTCAAGAAGTGAAGTAATTCAAACCCAAGAACCCACAATTCAAAATTTAAATCCCCACTTGGAAATGAACTGTGCATCCAGTGATACTAACCACAAAGTAGACTCTGAGTTGCAAGCTGATTTCTTATTAAGAACAGGAAGAGTTGTTGATGAGTCTGAGCCCAAATACCCTAAATATTTAAATATGAGTAGTGAAGATGCAAGATTAAAAACATTTAAGAACTGGCCAAGTTATGTTCGTGTTACACCAAAGGATTTGGCAAACGCAGGACTTTTTTACACCGGTAGTAATGACCAAGTCAAGTGTTTCTGTTGTGGTGGAAAGCTAATGAACTGGGAACCTGGGGATATAGCATGGAATGAGCATCGTAGACATTTCCCGGACTGCTTCTTTGTTCTGGGGAGGGATGTTGGAAATGTAGCTCTTGAATCCAGCAGTATACCCCACAGTACACGAAGAGGTTCTGAGGTTCCTGATCATCCAGCAATGAGCCAGTACAAAGCTCGAATTGACAGCTTTGCTAACTGGACTTATCCCATCAATAAGGAGACGCTCTCAAAAGCTGGTTTTTATAGCACTGGTAAGAAAGTATATTGCTGTAAAAGAATGACTATTATTGTGTTGATGAAATGTTGACTGTAAATAAAGATTGCTAACTTCAGTCAGATGAGCATTTACACCCATTTTGCACGCAGGCATTTGTTACAGCCCCTGCATCTTTCCTTGAGCTGTACTCAGGCAGCCTATAGAAGTGGATGCAGATGCAGCAGCTGCACGGACACAGCCACATATGCGTACAGGAGCTTGTGCATGGATCTGAAAGCAGGCAATGTACATTTGGATCCCTGCACCAACTTTTGCATGCATGTCAGATTTTGACATCTGGCTGTGTCCATGTGCATCTATAGGCTGCCTGCGTGCAGACAGAGACAGATGCAGGCATAATAACAAACAACAAGGCTTCATTCATATAGATGCTGGCACCTTTCCTTTGTGAAGGCTGTCTTTGTTTTGGCATCTGCCTCTGCCCCAAGTTGCGTGTAGTCAGCCTATGGAGGTGGATGCCCCCAATTCCCCTTTCCCGACAAAGCACCGTTTTTCTAATGTCGATGAGGACGAGGGCTCTTTCCTCACAACCCTTGTCCAGTGGTTGTGGGGGTCTGCGAGCAAGGGGACTTATTGGAATCTGTAAGCCCCATTCTATCAATAAAGGGGCCCCCAAATATCGCCATCCCTTCTCCACCTGCATCCAAATCTATTGGCTGTCTGCACACAGCTTGAGGGGGATGAAGATGCCAAAACAAAGGCAGCCTGCAAATAGGAACAGGTAGGTGTCAGTGTCTGTCAGAATGAAGCCTGACTCATGCCACATATGTTAGGTGGCTTTTGAAGCAGTAATATTGGTTGATACAGGGTGTGATAATGTCTCTTGATCCATCAAAGAAGGAAATGTTAAGGCACTAATGTGAAATATTTTTGCCTCTGTGGTATAAGAAATTTTACCATGCATTTTTCAAGAGAAATGGTCACCTTATTCATTCATAGCAAAGTGACAGTGTCTTTGTAAGCAGCCTTCTTGGCTCAGTTAAATGCACCTTGCCAGCGCTCCCTCCCCACTTATATTTTGGTTACAGGTGGTGACAATACCTGATGCCTTCAGATATGGGGAAGAATGTGACCTCCTCTCATGTTACATTATTCTGCTCTAGCAGTCAAATCGCCAAGACTGAGCAATCTCACATGACCGAGGAAGTGACTGCTCTTCTTCGCTTCCAACAGGATTTTTGTACCCACTGTGACGTTTGTAGGAGTGGCAGGGGATCACTGGCAAGGTTTGGGGGCCTTTACAAAGTTACTTTGTCCTGAATAAGGTCCCTTTTACATAAACGATCCGATCAGGTCCATTTGTGTGTTTTTCATGAGGACCCAATCGGACCCTCCATTCTCCTCTGTCTTTTTACACCCACCTGCCTCCAAACCAATCCAGCAAAATCAAACAGAAGGGGATTAGTTCCCCTCTGAGTGGATTGGAGGGCAATCGGGTGTAAACGGACAGCTGGTCTGTTTACATCCAACTACCCATAGAGCAGAGCATGCTTTGTCTGTGTCCTCTCTGAGTGGATGACAGATCTGGCACTCTGCTCAGCTCAGCAGTGGCTCAGCTGACAGTTTCCCTGCTGAGAAAAACAGATCTGGCCCATTTTAAAGGGGCCTTAACAAGATGACAATGTCTCTTTAACACCTAATTTGTGTACATTTTCCTTCCAATTTCCAAATGGACCTGATGTATTAATGTTAAAGAGACTTGGGAGAAGTGCGTCAAAGTGTTGCAGGTGTGATGTGCAGGCATTTTGAGGGGCACATATCTGCAGACGCAACCTCAGAAACCTTGCTATTACTGTCAGATCCACTTTCTGCCTCCTCTGCATTCATTTGGCGGGGCCCATTGGAATATGTAATAGCAAAGTTGTGCACCAAGCTGTTACACTGTCCGCCCCCCCCCAACCAAAGTATTACTGTAATTTGTTTTTTGTTACTTTATGGTAGATGAGCAAGATGCAACAAGATGCTTTTATTGTGGAGGGGAGTTAAAAGATTGGAACCCAAGGGATGATCCATGGGAACTACATGCAAGATGGTACCCAGGGTAAGTAATGGCTCACAAGGAGATGCATTTGAAGGCAAATTTAAGCTACTGTAATTCTTAAAGTGTTTAGTTGAACTTTTAAGAAAAAATGAAATGGTGAACTTACACTATACACACTGCTCAACATTACACAACACAACCCTGCACAATCCCTGCTCTGTTCCTTCTTTCTGTAGGGCTCCTGGACAGATCAGAGCAATTCTGATTGAACAGCACTGGCATGTGACTGGGTGGGGAGAGTGTTGGCTGTTAGTTGACCCTTTTTTTTTTTTTTTTTTTTTTTTTTCCTGAAAAGGTGATCTTACCCTTTATTTTGTACTTGTCTTGTAGCCCTGGCTCCCAAGTTTAAATCACACCAAGGTTGTTAGCTATATGGAGTATGTTCTCCCTGGTTGATAAAGGGTTTTCTCCCACAAACCAAAAATATACTGGTACATTAGCTGGCTTCCTTACAAAAATGACCTCTAGTGTGAGTATGGCAGGGACCTTGATTTGTTAACACCTCTGAAAAAACTGTTGCAAATATTTCATGGTACTCTTTAAAGTGATGTGTAATAGTGCTATAAATGATCAAGATCATCTGCCAGCTTTGTGGCTTAGCTGTCATTAAGAATAGGTACTTTGTTACAATCTATATTTTTCTTTACTGCATGTACTGTATACTCAAAAGTGCTTTATTCAGGATATTTTCAGCTTGTTAAAACTTGGCACAGTCTCTTATTTTAAGCAGGGGTTTCCTGGATTTTCAGATTAAAGTGTTCCATTTTTTCCAGATTTTGTCTAATGTGAGAACCCCACTGTATGTTTATTTTGTTCCCATCCACATGGCATACCTAACTAATTTTAAAAATTCTCACCTTTTTAGATGTTTCTTTAGAGTAGTTTACAATTTACCCAAAAGCTTGCTCCAAACAATTTGAAAGTGGAATCACTTTATTAAAGTGGTATTAAACCGAAAATAAAACATTTATGATATTACTGCTTACCAATTCTTAGATATGATGGCTGCATTTGTTTTTTTTTGTTAGGCTTTCTTTTTTATTTTCATCTGGTGATCTGGCCAGTAAGTATGTTGTTTTTTTCTTCAACAGGATAAGCTATTCTGCAGATGTAGTGGTAAGAGGGTTGAAATAAGCCATTTAACACTGATAGGTGTGCTTAATTCACCCTGGTTTATTTTTGTAAAACCTTTATTCCGAAAGGAATACAATTGTTGCTTTTACTGCTTAAAAAGTGTTAGCTGGAGTTTGGCTTCAATTTGTTAGTGTATCTAAATCTGCTAGTGTATGAGCTCTAATACAGGAGGTGCGTTACTGGCAAGATTACCAGGTGAATACACAGGGAAAAAAGAAATCTAATACAGCCACCACATCTAATGAATGATGAGCTGCAATGCATTACATATTTTGGTTTAATACCCTTTCAACGTACAATGTAGAATCTAAGCATTGATATCTTTAACCCCTTGTTAGAATAGACAATGTTGAAATCTAGTTTATAAATGATGAGTTCTGCCAGCCCAGTACAGACAAGGTTGATTATGGTAAACATTAAAATATTACTAAACCCAGGACCCTACATTCACTATATCTGGTCTCCCACAGTACACACAACATGGAAATGCAATTATTTTAGTAAATATAAACGGCTAAATACCTTTTCTCATCAGCAGTTAGAGCAGTCTTGTGACTTCAGCTGAGCACTGGTTAAAGCTTGTAGAAGGAATATTCTTTCTGCTCTAGGAGGGTGCAAAACCCCTGACCTCTGTCTGGACCTTGCTGATTGGCCCTGCTCTGATCACATGCACTCTCCCAAGAAAAAACCTCTCTAGCAATACACACTAAACGGAGCATGTGCCTTTTTACACAATGCAGAGGATTAACCTCTTAGGTTCCACAGTGAGTATAACAAGCATGCTTTACTGCATATACAGACTGATTTTGCCTTACATAAGGCAAAACATCAGTAAAACTGTAAGCAACAAATTTTTAAATATTTTTTTTTTAAGTTAAGCAATGTAAATAGGAACTTAAAACAAATATAATTAAAGTAGGTGTTATCCCAGTTTGGCTACAAAAGTGGGAAAACAATTGAGATGCATTTTGTCACGTTAGAAAAGGGACACAAGGGGATGCCTCTAAGTGCAGCATTAAAATAAAACCGTTTAATAAAGCATAAAATTGTGTAGCACTCACAATTGTGAAGAATTAAAATAACCATGAGAAATGACCATGGGAAGTGTAAGGACCGCTGCCACTCCTCAGGTGTGTAAGTAGCAGCATCCAAGAGCAGATAGAGCCGAGGAACGAACGGACATCTGTGCTCCATGGAGGGCATCGGCTCCTGTAGTTGGAGAGGAACTTGGAACCAGAAGTGAGTCAAAAATCCCACCGTGGACCGCAAGACCGGAAGTGGTGTCAAGGAAGGTGGGTCTGTAGCCTAGGTAACGCGTTTCAGATCACCAATCAGCTCCTTTGTCAAAGGAGTGGCAGTGTTCCTTACAATTCTCATGGTTATTTTAATTTTTCACAAGTGTGAGTGCTACAATTATGGTTTATTAAACTGTTTTCTTTTAATGCTGCACTTAGAGGTGCCCCCTTGTGTTCCTTTTCATTTCTACAGAGATACATTCCAGTCTCTTGGTGGAGCTGCCTTTAGGTTCTTTTATGGATTTTAGCAATGTGTATGGACTTCCTATGATATGGACTTAATATTGTCCAAATGTTAACTCTTTGTATCACGCTGTTTTTTTAGTGTATGTTTGCGCCATATGCCATTTGTATATTTTGTCAAGTTAGGCAGCCCATTCAAAATGAAATGGCTGTAACGCACCTCAACACCTCAATTTCGATCCTGCTGTATTTTTTTTTGTAACGTACCACAATGCACATTGAAGAGAATATGGAAGTAAAATAAGTAGTATTAACGTGGTGGCATTATTAATAACCCTAAGCATTGGTGTCAGTGAACTTAAAAATAACCCCCAGCATTGCTGTCAGTGTCTGCAATCAAAACACCCACCTTTGGTGTCAGTGAATGCAGTAATTAAACCACTGCCAGTGGCAACAATAACCCCCAGCATTGCTATCAGCAGAAGCAATAATAACTCCCATCATTGGCATTGGTTTCCGTGGCTGCAGTAATTACGCTCAGCATTGGTGTCTTTGGCCAAAATTAAAACCCACAGCATTGGTGGCAGTGGTCACATTAATACCCCCAGCATTTGTGTAATTGGCCGCACTATTACAAATGAAGGCAGCTCTATAATTATTTATACAACAGTAAACTAATGTTATTTTTAATTGCAAGCACTGTAGGTGCCTGAAATTGACCTGGTTTAGGACAGGTTCACATAAAATGCTTTCCAGTTTTTCCAATGTTTTCAATAAATGTACAACCTGCTGCAGTTTTTTTGCCTGGAACAAATGTAAATGCACTGGAATGCACATAATAAACCATTGTCCTAAAATTTTTCAAAATGGAAACCCCCCCCCCCCCCCCCAAAAAAAAACCACTAGAACACAATGAAAATGTATCAGAAACGCATCCTGAACTCTGATCTTGTGGTGTGAAGCAGCCCTAAAGCCTGTTGCAGTTCCTGTACAGCAAAGCTCAGAGAAGAGGAGGAAGAAGCAGGACAAGGATCCAATCAGTGCTATGGTGCAGGATACAAACTGACAGGAGTGCAGATTGACAGATGAGCTCATCCATGAGCTCCTTTCCTTGTCCTGTGGGGTGGGGGTGGGGAGGAGACCTGTAAGCTATTTATTATTTATTTCAGGTACTTGTAGAGCGCTGTCAATTTACGCAGCACTTTACATATAGTACATTCACATCAGTCCCTAACCCTCAAGGGGCGTACAATCTAAGGTCCTTAAATTACATTCATACATATACTAGGGCCAATTTAGACAGGAGCCAGTTAACTTACCAGCATGTCTTTGAAGTGTGGGAGGAAACTGGAGCACCCAGAAGAAACCCACGCAGGCACAGGGAGAACATGCAAATTCCAGGCAGGTGGTGCCGTTGTTGGGATTCGAACCAACACCCCTAGTACTGCCAGGCGGAAGTGCTAACCATTTTGCCACTGTGCTGAAACTACATCAGAGAAAGATCAAGTCCCCTGCCAGACAGGGCAGGATCTACCTGTGTAAACCTCTGGACAGGATGGACTGAAATCTAGAGTGCATTTTCTGAAGTTTAACATAGTAGTGTGTTTTTTTTTTTTTTTTTTTTCTTAAAATGATTGTAATTTACTGCTATGCTATGTTATTGCAGATGCAAGTTTCTAGTTGATGAGAAGGGGCAGCATTTCATTAATACTGTACAGCTAACCAAACCTCTACCATCTAGGCTGGTAAGTTATCTGCTTGTGAATGGTTTAAATTCCAACCAAACAACTCGGTTTGTTAATTGCTCCATTACATTACAACATCACAATGACAGTTCTTTTTTCGTGGTATATCTTATTCCACACCCCAGGGTGTGAGTAACACGTGGACACTGGTTTTTTTTGTTTTGTTTTTTTTCTTTACAGACATGGCATTGTTTGGACTAGGGTTTCTCAACCATTTTGCCTTGGAGGAACCCTTGGCAGAAAGATCTCGGGAAACCACCGAAATAATTTTCACATCTACAGCTCATAGAACATTGGTGTGATCAGCAAGCTGTAGATAAAACAAATTATTTTTAGAAATAGCATTAAGTAAAAGAATCTATATTAAAATGTACCTATTTAATGTGAAACTTGGGCATGCTTTTTTTCCTGCACAAATGTTAATTTCTGGGTGGAACTTGAGAAAAGCAGTGTAGAGGGGGGGTCAGCAGGGCAGAACACTGGGTCAGGAGGGCAAACTTCATGGGAGCAGCAGGGCACACTACATGCTGGTCAGCAGGGCACACTACATGCTGGTCAGCAGGGCACACTACATGCTGGTCAGCAGGGCACACTACATGCATGGTCAGCAGGGCACACTACATGCTGGGTCAGCAGGGCACACTACATGCTGGTCAGCAGGGCACACTACATGCTGGTCAGCAGGGCACACTACATGTGGGGGCTGCAAGGTACATTACATGGGGAGGCAGCAAGGCACATTATGGTACCATTTTTCTTCTCGTGCAAAGCTATGCAGGGAAGTGGCTAGAGATGGCTGTGGCACGCTATTGTCACTGGCCGCTACTCCCCTCCTGTCCATCTCATGTGATGTCACATCAAGTATAAGCAACTGGGATGGAAAGGAGGAGGGGAGGGACTGTGTGGGAAATAGCATGCCACAGCCAGCACTATCACAGCCGCTTCCCTGTGTAGCTCTGCATGTCTTGGCAGTGGGGATGAGATCTACCCATAAGTTGCCTACGATTGATAGGTAGCTCACGGCAGGACCCCTGGGAACCCTTTCGTGGAACCCTAGGGGTCTGCTGAACTCTGGTTGAAAAACCCTGGTTTAGACCATCTACTGCAAAAGTACTTAACAGTATTTATTTAAAGGGTTAGTCCACCTAAAAGTAGCATTTCCATATTGGATAAATACTCAGAGTTAAACCAGTTTGGAGTTTCCTATATTTATCAAGGACTCAATTCATGACATTTCTGCACTTGCCTTCCAAAATCTGCTCACCTACCAAGGGGGTTTACTTTCCCTATTAAATCATTAATGTATTTTATACCATGGAGACTGCAACAGGAAGCGTGAGAACACCTTCGTTTTAGCAGAGGGTGAGATTTCAAAGTAAACCAGAGCAGAGCTGGTAACATTGGTGCTGAAGCCAGCAGGCAATTTAGCCTAGCAGACTAAAGCTGGGTATACAAATACTGAAATTCAGCAGGTTCAACAGAAACCACCTAAATTTCAGTGCATGTGTACTGCTGTCTGTTCAATAAAAGCGAGTCTAACAACCGGTTTTTGTTGAATAGTCCTGCTGGAAAACCAGCATTCCATCAGTAGAGGCAGCCAATGGCTGTAGAGCTGATCTATGTATTCTGGAGGGGGGGAAACCCATTGTCAGAATACAACAGTGCAGCAGGAGAGATCCCTGCATCCACAACGTTTGTGTGCATTCAGGAATAAAATAATGCTACATGTATACTCTGCTTAAGACTAGCCTTACGCCTATAGATTTTTACTCCTAAGCTAAAAAACATGGATGAAGGAAGTTTCCTTACTGGCTAGGTTATTCTGACAGCAGCCACCCGCGACTGTCAGAGAGCTCAGACAATGACTAAACGCCCAGCCATAGATGGGTCGAATCTCGGCCAGTTCAGCAGGGACAGGCCAAGATTCAATCCATCTATGGGCAGGCTGGTTGTACTAAAATCGAATAATCAATCAACTTCAGTACAACCAGTTTGTCAGATTTATTGCATGACATTACTGCCGGCGGCTCTAGCCACAAGTGATAATCATTTTATTTTACTGGCAGGGAAAGCTCGCTGCCGGCAGAACACAATAGCGTAGCAGGAGGGATTCAAGTTATTTTCTTCCCTGTAACCCATGGTCGAAGGAGAGAAAAATCACGTCATTTATGGCTTGCCTTGGATGTAGTGTCTCTTCAGCTGACAATTTTCCACCCAATTCCTTAATCAGTCATCTTTTGTCGAGCTGGGTGGTGCCAACAGGTATGGCAGGCTTAAAGCTTTAACTAAAGTATGGGTGAGCTGACACTCTACTAGAGATTTACTGATCTAGAGCACATCATAGCCTACTTAGCCATAAGTATGCATTGTGTTGATGTTTCAGGAGTTTGTAGCAAAGTTAGTCTTGTACTCACGCAGGAGCATTACATGATAGGACTTCTCTTGTTAAATAATTGAGGCTTATATATTAAGCATTCTATAGTTCACTGTCATACAGGAGAAGATTAAAAGCAGACGCCAGTCCTTCAGAAAAGATGATTCAGGTACGGGTGGGTACAGCAAGCTGACACACACTAAAGCAGCTTATATCTCTGGGTTTGAAGAGGTCGGGTCTCTTCACTATATTTACAGTATCTTTATAGGAGATGTGACATGAATAGGGAAAAAGCCTAGCACTGGAGAGCGTGACTGCCTCCAGTAGGCAGCAGAGTAAATATGATGCTGTTTCAATGAAACCATGCCTGGAACAGGAAACTACGTATTTTCCAAAGCTTGCACCTCAAAATATATAAAGTTAAGTACTAGAAATGTCTTTCCTACATTTTTACTACTTGGTAGGCTAAAGCTGGCTAGGGTGTTAACGGCCACTGTATCCAGTGCTGCTTTTAATTAACATTGATACACAAGAAAAAAGCATGTGGAACACACCAAAAAAATCCACCCTTATTAATTTTGGTCAGTCATCTTTTAAAACTGAACTCCAGAGGTAGGACAAATCCCCCATTTCATTGGGATACTCCCACACCGCATGGGTTAAATGCTCATTTATGTCTAGGGGGCTGCAAAGAGAAGTTTTGCCCGCTCTATACTCCACTCCCACAGGCTACCACCAAGGCTTTTAGACTAGTCCTTGCAGCCTCTTCTACCGTATGGTCCTCTGATGTCGTCAAGTGCAGAGCCCATAGCCCTGTATTGGTCTTGAGGAGGCTAAGGCAAAGTCCAGTGCTGGAGATTACGGGAGGTGAGGAGACCACCGGCTGCTGTTCCCCTGGCCTCCCATGCCTGAACGAACATATCACCCATGCAGTGTGGGGTCTGCCCCACTGCAAGGGGGCAGCAAAGAGGTTAAGCATAAAGAAACTTGCATGAAGTTTCTACAGTCATGTGGAAAAGTACATACACCATGCGGAAATATCGGATCAAAATATATGAACAGGAATACATTAGCTGTTCATTCAAACAGTGGCTACAGATATACTGAAATAAAACACAAGAATCACCTTTTACATAATTTATTCAACAAAAATATCAACAGGTGTAATATTGTACTGTGAAAAATGTAAGTACGCCCTTGGCCTTTCAATGCAAAATTAGTGTAGTGCAACCTCCTCAATACATAATAAACAATCCCTACTAAAAATATAAATAAAAATTAATAAAATGAAAGTCCAACTAATACCCCAGTGGAATTTTTGGTGAAAAATTATCTTCCTCCAGTGACTTGTGCACCTCCACTATTCAGGTGAAAAATCTGCTCAACTCATATATACTTAACGCGCTCATCTGGACACTCCCAGCGGCTCAACCTCTCAGGCTTAGACTTTCTCTATCAATTGTGCTCATATATCATCCGATATAGATCTCATGTAATAGAAAGGAAAAGACACAGTGCTCTCTATTGTTTAAAATCTTATTCAATATACAGCAGATAAAAATACACTTACCTGTATGTAAGTCAGTGTTTCTCAACTCCAGTCCTCATGGACCCCCAACAGGTCATGTTTTCAGGATTTCCCTCAGATGAAACAGCTGTGGTAATTACTAAGGCAGTGAAACTGATCAAATCACCTGTGCAAAATAATGGAAATCCTGAAAACATGACCTGTTGGGGTCCATGAGGACTGGAGTTGAGAAACACTGATGTAAGTGTATTTTTATCTGCTGGGGATTGAATAAGCAACCCCAAACCATAAAAACATTTTTTTCACCCTGCTTCACATTTGGTATGCGGTTCTGATTTTGAAATGCAGCCTTGGGTTTGGGCCAAACACAATATACTCACTGTGGTGCCCAGTGGTGTATTTTGTTTTTGTGCTGCCCTAGGCAATCTCAAAAATCGGTCGCCCACACGACAATCAATTTAACATGCTTTGCTATGGGTTCGATTCACATCTATACAGTTTCTTGCAGTGCGATTTTGGGAGAGGTGCAGGGACTTTTTCCTCATGCAGGAAGGTGCCTTTTTAGGTTCATGGACTTCAATGGAAGCGCATGAAAAATGCATGTACATGCATTTTTGGTAGGATTTTGTGTTTTAACAACCAGTTTCCTCCTCCTAAAAAGAAAAAACTCATGAAGCATGAAAACACATCAAAAACCTGTAAACAATGCACTGCAAAAATGCCCCCCAAAACGCATGGAAAGCACATGCACAGGTGTGAACCTAGCCTAAAGAGAATCCACTCCTTGGCATCTAATCCGGAACATCTGACTCTAAATTTCTGCATTTGAAGTGGTGGTAAACCTAGCAATATTCTTAATTTTAACACGCCAACTCTACATTTTTGTAAGTTTAACATTTTGAATGAATGCACCATGTAAAATGCTTGTTATTTGTTCAAGCACATCACCTTTTATTTGTAGGCACTGTTTGAAAAGATCTAATGTTTACCTGTCCAAATATGTTAGTCAACAGCTTTGGCACACTTACTTTTTCACATGACCGTATGTATAAATGTTATGTTGTTACTATGTGAGAAGGGAAGATGTTTCCCCTATGC